CTCGCACAGAAACAGTACTGAGACTCCCAATAGAAACAGTACTGAGACTCCCAGAGAAACAGTACTGATACTCCCACAGAAACAGTACTGAAACACCCACAGAAACAGTACTGAGACTCTTACAGAAACAGTACTGAAACACCCACAGAAACAGTACTGAAACTCGCAAAGAAACAGTACTGAGACTCCCAGAGAAACAGTACTGAGACTCCCACAGAAACAGTACTGAGACTCCCACAGAAAGAGTACTGAAACTCCCACAGAAACAGTACTGAGACTCCCACAGAAACAGTACTGAGACTCCCACAGAAACAGTACTGAGACTCCCACAGAAACAGTACTGAGACTCCCGCAGAAACAGTACTGAGACTCCCACAGAAACAGTACTGAAACTGCCACAGAAACAGTACTGAGACCCCCCACAGAAACAGTACTGAGACCCCCCACAGAAACAGTACTGAGACCCCCACAGAAACAGTACTGAGACGCCCACAGAAACAGTACTGATACTCCCGCATCTTGATTGCACACATGGTCGACCATACCCCCTCCCCCCTCTTCAGTTTGACGCAGAGCACTTCCGGAACGGCGAAAAGTAAACATCATAGCCGTGTTACATAGTGTCGTCTTATGAAGTCTCTCTCGGCATTGTTCTGTCCAAACTCGGTTCCCATTCACAACTAATTACGTACGGAATGAGTGAAACTAATAGTCAACTATGAATGATCTCTCTTCTGGAGAGAAACCACAGCTACCTAAAATAACTTGGCAGTTGGGGCGATGCAGCGTTGACAAGCGCATTCAGTACAGTTACTGTTGGCGCATGTTGTATATATATATTCTTTGATTAGAGTACCATGTACTACAAAAGACCTTGTGGCTGGTTTAAATTTGGTGAACAATGTAAGAAGATTGAGCTTAAACTTAGATCTGCTTGTATGCCTTATTATAGGGTCTGCTTTATGTATTATACTAAAGTAGAGGTTAAAAACATCCCTGTGTAAATTTTTAGACTGACACTTCTTGACAAACTTATGCACAGTACAGTATAAAATACCATGATAATGATACTCCCAAAAGTTTTCTCAGAACAATTCTCAACAAATTAGGTTAAATGGAACTTTATTCAAAATTAAATTTTGCATCAACCATTGATATTACAAAACGACATTTATTTATACTATATATATTTATATAAATTATATTATCACATGAGCCTGGAGCACACTGACCAGGTTACAATAACTTAAAACATGATGAGTCATTCAATCTGTGCCATATTGACTTAACATCCCACATGGTTTATTAACAAAACATGATCCTTTCCTGGATCAAATATTTCCTCAGTGAAACAGACTTTGACCTTTGTATTTAACAACAGCCATTCATTCTGCTCCACACTATTGTTTTTCTTTAGCAAAGTGAATGCTTCTATTGGTTCAACCCCTCCACACAATAGTTTTAACTACTTAATTAAGCATTGCATCAAAAATATTCAAAGATTATGGTATAACAGCTACACGATATTTTGAAATTGGCAAAAAAAAAAATAAAAAAAATAACAACACAATAACATCCCATCAAAGTAAACCCAATCAATAATGAAAATTTTTTAAACCAAAATTCAACAAGCATTTTCTCTAACTCCAGGGTCTCCACACAACAAACACATTTTAACATTATCAAACACTTTCATATCAGCATATATTACAGCATCAATCAACATCCTAATCTGCTTCCTTATAACACAAAGTGATGTGAAAAAATTGGTCATCTCATTTTGTAGCAAGTATCAGCTATGGCAATAAAGTGATGACACAGGCATCATGATAAAGTAATGACAACAGCAGCTCTAACGTCAATGCATGTAATACAAATATTTAGTTGCTACAAATAAATGACCTGTCAATGCTGTGGTAGACAGAACAAAAAAGTAAAATTCATTAGCTGTCAGTTAATGTGTAAACCAGCCCCTGAATATGTGAAAGTATTTTAACTGCAGCTCTCACCCCTGTTCCAGTATTTGTCAACTTTCAGACCCACAGTTGGGCAATTCACCCCTGCTCCAGTGTTTGTCAACAAATAGACCTACAGTTGGGCAACTCACCCCTTTTTAATAAGGGCCTTATCAAACTCTGTTAAAATTTTTGCCACTTAGTGCAGCTTCCAGTCACCTGAGATGAATGATGACTTTATGTGGAAACTTGATGGAGTTATTAACCATGGCATATATAAATATAACTAAAAGAGAGTGAACAAGTATAGCTCACCTTCAGTACACATACTAAAGGAAGAATAGAAAATAATAACTCTATATACAAATAATGCATATCTTACTTAAGCCTGAGATCCTCATCATGTTATTAAGAAGATAATGTTCAAATCTAACGCAACACAGGGATTGCCAATAAATCCTATGACTACCGGCACTGGTCTAAAATGTACACAATAAAATCAGCCGTGAAACTAGAAGACGGGGCCAATGGAAATGAAACAACAGCCGTGAAACTAGAAGACGGGACCAATGGAAATGAAACAACAGCCGTGAAACTAGAAGACAGGACCAATGGAAATGAAACAACAGTCAGGCAACACATAAAGAATAAGCACAATAATGTTAAGGGGTTGTGAAATATTGGTAAACACAGAGCCTTCTGATGGAAATGTCAGGCATGGCTGTTTCAGGTGGCAACACTGAGGTATGAGACTTGTGTGTGCATGATCCCATTCAACAGCAACCCATGACAAAAAGAATGTTAATTTGACGCCCATTTTTACTTAGAGTGAATCATGATGCAACTAACGGTCTTGCAGACTAAGTGCAAGACTTGCTTAAATGTTCAGTTCATTACCAATTCGTAGCTAGGAGCCAGGTCACTGAGATCAGTGCACAGAGGTAAGCAACGCAACAGTTTCAATTATCAATGAAAATAAAAGTCATAAGTGGAACATAGTAAACAAGGAAACTCATTGAGCAAATACTTATATAACACAATTCATGATAAAAAGTCAGGTTAATTCATATCTCTTTCCTAAATAAATGTCTTTAAAACTGGCAGTTTGTGAAATCTAATCCAATGATATACTTGAGATGAAATCAACTCATCTCCTGTTTCATGAGATGCCTATAAAACCATCAGAGTATTTTCCCAGAAGAAGAGTTCAATATAAAATTTCCTTTGTTCACTCTAACAACTCGACTATACAACACACAACAAAACATAGATGAAATGTATATGGCGTAGAAGGCCAGATGGATGTATCAAACTATTGAACTTATACACAGCTCAGGGAAGCTGATGATTTATCAAGCGTTCATTCAAGTGTCTAAGTCAGCTGTTGGCAACAAGTGCGTCCTGAAAAGTTCCTCAAAAAATGGTGCAACATTTAATGGAGCCAAAGTTCCAGTCAATTTTCCAACAAATGATAGTGTTATTGAAAGTAAGAAGCAACTTTTATCTTTAAGGTAACCATCCATCTATTCACATGCATCAGTGTCATTGAACAGCTACCCATGGACGAGAGGCTGGCAAGGTCACCATTGCCCTGCAGGCTGTAGAAATAGCAGTGTCCAAGGCTCAATAACAAGGTGCAAAATAAAAAGTTTTCCAAGCTGAGAGTAAGAAGAAAAAGACTAGATACAAAATGTTCAATGAAATTGTTAAAAAATGCAGGTCTGTGTCAAGGAACTTGTTCAGAAATGAAGGTCTGTGTCAATGAACTTGTTCACAAATGCACGTCTGTGTCTTGAAGTTCATGTGAACTGCCTAAAACTTCCTGGACATCATTATATGAGCACAACAGGATTGGTTCCTATCCTCAGCTCACCCCAGTGGCTTTAATTGATGCATCTCTATTAGTATCAGTGGTCCCTCCCCACGCTCCATTGAGCCATAAACAAATGTGTTGCCACAGAGAGTGGGATCATCAAACTTGGTCGTGTTTGCCTATTGTTATTGATATCACAGTTTGTAGGACATCTCTGAAGGGGAAACAAAATTGTACACCTATTTACAAAACATAGAACTTACCACCTTTCAAACAGTCATGACAAAAATAGAATGTGTATCATTCATGTGAAAGGATTACAATGTACTTTGTGAAGTACTCATGTGAAGAAAATATATGGTATTCAAAATGCGACAATGTCACATAATAACTTTAACATGCTGTTACTTCAACTGTACAATGCTAGAATGGAAAGTAAGTAGCTGCTCAGGTTCAATACTGGGGAAAATCTTTTAAATGTGCACTTGACTTGGTGCCATGTTGCCTTCAACATCTGCTTTAAGACAGTTGTGTCATAGTTTGAAAGTGGTGGCCGCAAGGTCTGTCTGCCGCCGTCCACGGTTCAAGAGCAGAGCTGTGGCATCTGGCCAGAAAAACTTGAATATCGAATATAAAGGAGTTGATTAAAGCATTTTTTCTCTCTCTCTAACCTCGACTTGGAGAAAGATTGCTTAAACTGACTCTTAAGTGGCATGTAAGACTGAAGTGATGAAATGTTTGCAAGGTTCTAGTTAACAGAATGTTTTTATTCACTACAGATATTTTTTTTTTAAAAAAAGCCCCCACCTTATTTTGACTTGGTAAATCATGATTAGTTTACAGCAACAATGAATGACATCGCTGCTCAACTTGTAGCACTGTCAATCAAAGTAAATCATGATAGTTTACAGCAACAATGAATGACATCGCTGCTCAACTTGTAGCACTGTCAATCAATAAGTTTAAACTTGTGACATCATGGTTCAACTATGACATCAATCATGGTTAACCTTACAACACATGATGTTACATTTTAGGTACACAATCTGATTACATCAATGTCACGAACATGCTACAGTTATCTCATCAATATAAATTTTGATTCATCTGAGGTACATTTAAAAACATCATTTTAAAAATTTATCATTTTTAAAAAAAAAGAAAAAGAAAAAAGAAAGCATCAGACTTTCTTGATTTCTTCCGAACAAAATCTCTATATTTCAACAAAATAAACCAACTTGACTTTGATAGGCTGAAAAAACACATTTTATTTATGAAAAGATGTATCAAATTTATTCCCTGAATGTGGGTAAAAATTTGTACCATTTGATGCTTTCAGAGACTTACTCCCATGCTCATGTAAGTAATGACATCCTCGAGTATGTACAGTATTTTAATTATGTGTGCAAACAATAATAAAACAATACAATCATATCGTTTCCATAGCTTTTTCTGATGCATGTTAAAGATGCCAACATGACCAGCCAATCACAGAAAAGTGTAATCCAGTGCATATTTTTCCATTTATTTCGTTAATTATTAATCCTTTAAAGAAACACAACACTTCATTGACTGATAACAAGATATTCCTTCTTTTCTTTGTTTAAATCATCTCCCTCATTTCAGTGTGTCAGGTTGACTCCATCAATTTGGTGGTTACTGTAGAGTCAAGTGTTTTTTTTATTCCATACAGCCAAAGACATGCCCACAATGTCACACAGCTGAGTTGCCTCACTCAGTCTGCAGCTCCTGCCGTTGAAGGAATGTATGGCAGGGGAGGGTGGAGAATGTAGGACGAGGCTGCAGAAGGTTCTGGTTGATTCATTAAAGGGCTACCTGGACGATCTGGAAATGCAAAGATTTGTTAATGTCAGTGTTTTCACTTTAACTCAAATATCTTATCTGAATGATTAGAAAAAACAGAAACAACTTTGTTTGCATCAAATATTTGGGAAAAGACCAAGGTACAGATCGTCTACATTCTGGCCCCTTTTAGGCAATGCTCATTTTAGTCATATGATAGACTTTGTTGTTTTTTATAAACACATACCCATTTTATAAACAAAACTATCCCATGCAAAGATAAAGCCAAGACTTATCCCTACGTTGGACAGCTACACTATGCAGCTGCTTATACACAGAACAAACTGGTTCAAAATGTACCATCATGAGTGACAATAGTAATTCCCTCCAGTGGAACATATTCTGGTAGAGCATTCGATGGACTAGGGCTCTCTTGTTGGTGTCCAGGTGTTGTGGATGCCTGGACGGCCTGTTGTTCTTGCTGGTGTTGCTTTTCTTTTTCAGCTGGACTTAGTGGTTCTTGGTTTGTCTCATTCCTCTCTATCCTGCCAGGCTTGGGTTCTTAATCAAGAAAAAAAATTTGTACATTCCTAAAAAATCTTCTTTTAAAATGCATTCATTTTTGTTTGTTGATTCTCTATTATACCTATTTATGAAGGACATTTTTCCAACTAATCACTTTCTATTTTTGCTAGGTAATATTAAAATATAAAAGATTTACCACCGTCTGCACATTAATTTTATATCCACAAATAAGACAATATTATAGTGGAAATCCCAACACGAAAAAATATAATTGTGTCTGAAATGTATTCCAACTCTACTTTAGTAAGGAGAGTTAATTTTAAACAATAAATCTTAAACTTTTTTATGATTTTGAAGAGAAAACTCATCTCAGACATTTTATAAGAAATGATGTTAGGTCAAATCCACAGAAAAGTTCAGGTATTATCAACTTGTACCTGGTTCAAATGGTTTGAAAACTTCACTTTGAAGCTTAGGTAGGAATGTGTCTATTTTATCCCACGTCAGACGCCACAGTAGAGATTCTGTTCCATCAGCTGTCTGAAACACACGAGCTGTGTCCATGACCAGCAACATGTTTTTCAAACTCTCTGGGATTGCCTCAGACTAGAGAAGAAATAGTAAACAAAATCTAGTCACCAAGATAACACAACACAATATTTTACTTCTTGTATAGTAGTGAAAACATAAGTGATAAATAGCCATCATATTTTCTGGAACAATATCACAAGAAGGTGACTCTGAGTACGATACTTGAAAGATAACAGAACTGCTTTCCTCGAGTTTACAAGCCAAGAAATTACTGTGAATAAAATAAATGTTGCTCGTTACCAATAGATCGCTCCGGTCTGCATTGATGTACTTCTCCATGAAGTCCAGGATTGTCAACCACAAAGCTGTGAAAGTTGCCAAGGATAGAAGAGGGCCAAGATGCTGCAGAAACACCTGTTTAAATTAAAGGAATAAACATATTGTCAACTGTACATTTTCAAGAAAGGAAGTATATTCTATCATGTGTAGAGAATGATAAATGGGAGTCGCTTAGTCAATTATTTTGTCACGTGATATGAGTAAAAACGAGTAAGATTTCCGGTATACTGTATACAACACACTAGTGCTTGACAACAGTAGCCCGATACACACTACAACTACACTACATTTCGTCCAATGAAAATTAACAATAAAATAAACAAAGGGGAATGACTCCTGCATCAATATTGAATAAAAACGCAAATGACGTCATGAGCACGCACGGAGCTCAACAACATCCTGCCGATAATAGTATTGATAGTTCCCATCGAATATCGCTCACAAATTTTTCTTGAAATAACTTTCTTCCTTTAATCCTAACTGACGTATATTTATTGTCACATTTATGGATTTCATTTAAAAAACGCTTGCATTCCATAATATTACGAAAGGTAAAATTTTTAATTAACATAACATAGGGGAAGCACTGATGAAGTATCTTTTGTTGTGTGTTGCAGCCTAGTGATGACTTACTCATATCACGTGACCAAACAAGGAAGTGACTAATCGACTCCCATTAAGGATAGCTACAAAACCTTGTGTTTTCTTTTAAACATTTTTATAAACAATGGTCAAACTAAATAAAGCAATAATAATGATTAATTAGAACAAACCTGTGACTCATTAGTTGTGACAAATAATTAAGTTGAACTCATCAGTAACTAGATTGGGCTGTGATCATTGAACTTAATTAATTTTTTATACACTTAAAAAAAAAAACCCAACGACTTCCATTTTTTCCCCCCATTGTATGTTTCTAATTGAGTTATGCACCTTTGCCGATGATAAAATGAGTGTTTGAATCAAAATTAGGTTGAACAGCCTTGTTTTAGATAATCATCATTAAACTTTTTTAGAAATTATAATTGAATAGCTCCAGAATGATTACTCCTAATTTTAAGAGAATATTTCAAAATTAATAATGAAGTGATATAAAACTTGTTTGGTTACTTAGAGATTCTTTCCTTATTATTAATGTTCATTCCACTTTCAATAAGAATATCATCAGCATCTAATATCTATTTCCCTTTTGATTTAATCAAAGTTGGCTAAATTTAATATTTGAAAGGAAAAACCAGTGAAATCTGACACAATACCTTGCTGAGGAGAGTGGAAGCTCTCATTCTAGTTTCCTCCATGCCAGCAGGATCAGATAAATTAATATTTTCTAATAGCTTGGTCAGCAAAGGGAACAGAACCTAAGGGTTAAAAAAAGTTTTTTTAAAATAATTTAAAATTAAATAAAAATAATTATATGGACTACATTGACACATATATTCATTCCCATACCAATTCAAACAATTCATAGAAATAAATCTAACAAGATTTATTTATGGTTATCCAAAACAAATTACAAATAACTCTTTTATCAATATGAGATCGAAAAAAAATATATATCTAATGTATGTTTCAAATAAAGCACATTAAATATTTGTTTTACAATATTTTAAAATTTAAAGTAAATTTAATCGTAATCTGTTTTAAAAAAAACAACAACAAAAAAAACACTGATTCATTCACAGCCTCCAAGATTATTTAAGTTATGAGTATTAACAACCCACCTTGTTGAAGCAAGATTCCCACTCAATAGCTTCCAGTGTTTGCAGATCATGGACTAGAAGAGCTCGTTGGAGGTAAGTCAAAGCTTGGCTTCTGACTTGGCGTCTGGAATCACAACACAGCCTGGCAATGCCTGGGGACATCAAACAATTATTTCATCAGAAATTTCATCAAAGGAATTAGCAATTTTATTTAAAAGCAGATGGAGTTATTATCACTGCAATGAATTCTTTCCACTAACATTATTTAAAAAATTGTTCATATGACAGTCAATAAATGATAAATTTGAATAATTAGACATAGGGTTATCCTGACTAGTTATTTTGTGACACAGCAATTTACAATGTACATGCAGTAAAAGATGGAAACATCATCAACACGACATTGAGTCAGACCGAAGGCAGCACATTGCAAAAAGAAAAAAAAAAAAATTTCTTCTCTGGATAAAACATTTTTAAAAATACTAGTCATTAATTCTTATTTTAGATCATCAATTAATTATCCTGTTTTTTCTTCATCACAATTAATCAATAATTCCTAAATGGTAAATGTTTACCTTGCAACAGTGGACACCAGCATTTACTCCACAAAGTTGGAACCTTGGCATCCACTATGACACCTTGACTATTGACCCGCACCATACCAGCACCTCCATTAGAGTTAACTGCCCCAGGAACAGCAAGAGAGGTTGCCTCATTTAGTTGCTGCTGCTGCTCTTTAGCCCAAGCACTGAATATAGAGGCTGCTCGTGTGTGAAGTGTGTGCATTAGATCCAACAGCTGAATGGAAAGGTGCTGCAAGCTGCAATACACATAACACAATGATTAAATCAAACATTAAAAAAAACCAAAGATATGCAATTTCTATTCACACATTTATTTTCATGCACTATATTCTTTTATATTCTACCACTTAAATTTTATCATGAGAAATTCCCTTTAATTTCATTTGGACACAATAAAATTAGTGTTAACAAAAGGAATTGATAATACATCTACAACTGAAATGAAAAAGAAAAAAAATGATAGTTGGCCTGGTAGCAAATGTCAAATTTTTATTTTTACACATTGCACAGACATTTTATCATTTGGAGCCCCAACCAAAGGGGAACAACTCCACCTTTACTGTAGATAAGTTTAGAATGAGTTTTTATAAATAATAATATAATAAATATAATTTGCAATATATTTCAATGAAATAAATTGATTTTTATTTATAATTGGTTGCTATATAGTGTTGTCTTTGACAATGCTTGTTATGTGTAAATTCTTTAAAGTCAAACTATGAACCATTCAGCGACTGCTGATGATCATAACAAAAAATCAGCTCTTTAAATAATGAATAATCCTGGGTGATTGATATATGAAAAAAAAACTACTTAAGTATCTCCCTTGGTCTCGTTTCTGTCATGATTTTCATTTAAATATAAATATATATAGACTAGTAAGCCGATAATTCCAACATAAAAAATCTGGGTAGCCTAATCAGAAAAAAATATATCTGCGGAGCAAGAATCACATTGTGAATTAAACTGCTAACCTTTCACAAGTCACATAGTAAACAGTGACCTCAATATTTGCAAAACATGTTTATAAATCATAGTTAGTCCAAATTATCAACATCTTACTGTAATGAAAAAAAATGTAAATTGTAGCAAAGTAAAATAAATGGTTTAACCTCTGTAATAATTTTACATTGACCAACCTGCTCTGTGTCGCTTCTCCATCAGGATCTTCATCAGACTGTAAACCATCATGCAACTGTTCAGGTGTGGATGTGGATTTACCAACTTTTGTTGCAACTTTTTTCACCTTTCGTTTCCCTTGTGTTTTTTCTCTCAAGGAATTACTGCGTGGTGGTGGTGTGCGAGTGCGACCTGAAAATCAAATTAATTTCATGAATTCAAAAACTATTCTTTTTAACAATCAGCCCTTCTATTTTAATTAAAGCTAATTATTATGTCTTAAATAGCCAATATGTATATCAGGACCAGCTCATTCAGTCCATCGTGTAGTAGAATAAGTAAGGTAGAAGGTTAGCATCAAACAACAACCCAGAGTTCAAATCAGTTAATGCGTTAAAAAACTTCAAGCAGATAGGGACAGCAATTTGGAACTACCAACTACTTCCCACAAAATATTTTTATCAAATGCATTTAAAACTTCATCCATGGCCTTCATCTGACAGGAACATGGATTCCATAGACTTAAGAAGGTTAAAAAACTGCTGTTTCAATTAACAGGCTTATTATGGTCTTGAGGAAAATGAGAGCTAATGTTGAGCTCTGTTATTCCTTAAAAAGGATGCATACAACACTTCCAACCAATGATTCCAATTAAATCTTGCCAGGTTTGATGTGACAAAGTCATTTAATTTTGCAGAACACTTATGAGATTCACAAAAATTCTTTACACTTTTTTTATTATGGTTTTTATTAGTTCACGAAACATAGTTTTTAATATGCTCACACAGTTTATTATATTACATTTAACATACCTCCATTAACACTTGCTTCCACAAATGTTCTGATGCAATGCACACAGCTCTCAAAGTTGTGTGGTGTTACATGTGCAGCGTCGCGCACCAGAAATGTTAACGTCTCAGCTGACTTAAGCAGTGCACGACTGTCAGGGAACAGCAGATTCTCATTTAAATCTATGCTGTACTGATTCACTGGCATTTTGCTGCTGTGTAGATCTTCTCTATTCACCTATTAGATTGCCAAATATAAAAAGACTTTTAAAGTAAACAAACTAAGTTGTGTTCAGACCTACAGATATGACTTTTTATCTACAGCCTAGTAATAAAATGGTAAGACCAGATGTCCCAGTAGACTATGTGTAAATATGAGACAGGACTTAATTAACCCAAAAAAAAGCCCTCAGCCAGCAAAGAGGGGCGGGGAAGCGGCTAAGTTGTGTTGTGGGATAAAATTTCCTAGCTTCACTGTCCAACATGTTTAATTTCAATATTTATTACAATATCTTGATTTTTTTATGAACATAACAAAAGCAAAATCAAGCAGAACATTTTAAAATATGAATAACATTTTATAATACAGTTGTTGGTACCAATTCAGTTTCACCTATACAAAAGGCTGACCGGGTGGATACATAATTTAAATGTTACTTTTAATTCAATTTAACCAATAGCAATTAAAATATGATCAATATGGACAGGATATCATAGCAAAGCATTGGTCTCATTGGAAGAGAGCATTGATTCCACATACCATCATCCAGCTGCCATTGTCTGGGACAGGTCTAAGCTCCAGACTAAGAGGGTGAGCATGACTAGCTGGATGCTTTTGACTGCTGTGACGCTGACCTTCATACAGCTCACTGTCTGAGGTGTAACCTCTGTCACTGACATCAGACACACCACTGACACTTTGGATTTCACTATCACTTTGAGCACCTACATTATAAAGCATTTTTTTAAAATGGGACCATTTTTTATAAGACAATAGATATTGCACTATCTGAAATGCATCAATAATATATTAAAGATAACATTCTCTGATCAATCTTTTTAATTTGCATGTAAAATTGAAGCAAGGACTATTTTCCAAATCATAGAAATACCTGGTTGTGCTTGTAACTTATAGTTTGATATATATAGTTTTATTTTCATCTTGCCTTTAAAATTTTTATTTTAATCTTAGAATAACAGCCAATTTTTAAGTGGAAATATAAGTGTAATTTCAATATGAGAAGGTTATTTTATAAGATAAACAAATATAAAGGTATTTATTCATTAGTCCACAGACCTGCATCATTTATGACCTCGGTTAGATCCACATCAGCACAGACTTGCATGATGGGAGGTAAATTGGCCCCAGCCCCAGCTACTTCCAACAAGGTAAATAAAGTATACCAATCTTGACTAGTATGGATATTTGCAGCATTAGTCCGCAACAGATCTTGTAGACCAAATGAAATCTAAAGAAAAAAAACAAAACAGCAAAGCATTAATAATTTTCAAAAACAATTAATGTTAGGTAATAAAATACGTATAAATGTACAATGTTTTCCAAAAAGAAGCACTAAGTGAATTAGATTTAAGTTGTTTAAAATACCTGTCTGCTAAGACTGTGAACAACGTTTGGCTTCATCATCAGCAAAATCCTGAGAGATGTGAGAACTTGAGATGCTATTTCCTCTCTACGTAAAAGTCTAATGGAAATGCGCAAGAGGCCGACCACAGCTCTCTCCACAAGGAAAGAGTTAGAACTGCTGTTGACTATGATGTTATAAAAATGGTCTCGAACAGCTTGCCACACAGGTGCTATGCGGTCCCTAAGTCAAGAAATTAAGTTGAATATATAAAGCAACCATAAACCATAACACAGAACAAATAAAGCTTTAGTCCTATTACAATACATTACATTGGTAATTTGCAAATATAGGGAAATGGATTTCAAAGTTTTTTTATATGGCTAAATCTGAAAGAGTACACTATATTCCTGACAGTTTCACATCTTTACACAGTAATTTCTGGTTTCAATTGTACTTTTTATTAACATTTAAACAAGCTGATCAGATAAGTAGAATCTGCAACTAACATAATTGTGATTGTGGAAAACAGTAGGATCTTAACATAATTACCTGTTTTGGAGGACAACTCTGACAAGAAGTTCCAGGAAAAACACACATGCATCTTCATCATAAAGACCATTCATACTGCCTTGGTCCTCTGTGCCTTGACGTATGGAAACCAATGCCTGAAATAATTCAGTGGTAAATAATGAGCAATTTTTATGCACAAAACATCAAATAAAATTTCACAAACATAATGATGACCATTGAGAATGATGGTCAGAGTTTTTTAAGTTTGGGGTCAGAACTCACTGGCGCTCCGGTCAATAAAAATGATTTGTAAAATCTGAAGGCCAAACCTTGATAAGTTCCTGTAAAGAGTCCTCTCTCAGAAACTTGCTGTCTATGATGAGCTGATCCAGCTGACAGTCCCTCACACAAGCGGCTGCTATTTTACCTGCTTCAAGGTCCTCAGCACTTGGGCCCTTGGCTGCAGCAGATTCAGAGAGAGTGAAGTATGACACAAAAGTACTTAGTACTCCAGTCTCAGATCTGCAGGGGAAAACATACAATGGTTTTATCTTTAAATCCTGTTGGTAAATAAGTTACAAAAATAAATCTAATCATGGCCAATTTTCAAGGTGAATTACTGTTTATTTTTCCAATAGAGTTTACTTGCACTTTAATCGTCTCATTAAATAAAACAGATACCATTATACTTGAATTCAGTACCTTGCCAATGAAGTAGATTCTTCTCGAAGAATGCATATTTTCCCACTGGAGTCTACAAAGTCTTCAACCTGCATTTATACAGACAAATAATTTTGAAAAATAAATTATTTAAAATCACCGCAAGTTATGTGATTTAACCTACATAAAAAATGGGACATAAACTTGATAGAAATCGGCTATTATGACAAAGTATAATTTTTAAAATCTCTAATTTTTATATATTAAGAAAAAATGCTACTTTTTTAAGACTTCTGAGAAAACTTCATTGAAACAATTGAAAGGCCAGTAAATGTCTGCCAATGTCAAGACTTTTTAAAAGAGCTACTGACTGAATCCCAAGCAGAGTTCTAATATTAATATTACTTTGGTAAGATGAATAGTAGGCCTACTAGTGGTGGTAGAAAATCTCAATCCAAATCTTTGCCCTTTAACATAACAGGAATAAACTGGGTAAAATGTTAGTTCATTTGTGGCTTTGATTATAAAGAACCAAGAAACATTTCCTTTTTTAGTTTAGAAAATGTCTTCTCATAAATATTTATTAAAAAATTAACTTAAAATCATGTATCACCCACATCCACCATAGTTTTTGGTAGAAGCTTTGCTCTGTAAAGCTGTAACATACAGTCCATTATGTTTTTCCAGCCCTCACGTAGGATGTCCCCATGTCTGTGAGCCAAACCAAATACAGTTTTGGCAGCCAGCTGTGCTTTAAAATTGTTGCCAAACAATGCAGGTATGGACTCCGGGCTCTAAAAAAAAAAAATAGATTACAACATTTAATTAATTTTATTTTGTCATCTCAATGTGAAATAATGATCAGCTTATTCTTCTTAAAAAAAATAGCACAAACCCTGAGTTTAAGTGATGTGACACTAAGCAGAGGTTCCTCTCTATTCAAGACAGAAGGAAAAAAAAAATTCAACAGATACTGAACCATGTTTTCAATTTGGACAGAAGACATAATTTAATAAGCCCAGTTATTAGATCCCAAAAATAAATATGTTATCAGCTAATTGAATTACATTTAAGAGCTAATATTATTTCTCAACCTGACTAGAAATATAGCCAGAGTAAGGTAAGAACATTAGTTTCATATTGAAGGGATGCTAATGAAACATGTTACTGCATCCAAAAGCAGCAGATATTAAATAACGGGCTTTCATCATTAAATTTGTATATTGAAAGACTATTTACCTCAACAGCACTCAGCAAAGTGGTAAATTTACACAAGGAAATCACAAGATTGTCAAACACATCACTCATACCATAGAAAGCAGAAATCATGGCACATTTCCTGAGAAATAAAAAAGAAATCAATCAGAAGAAATGATAAAAAAACAGTGCCTAAGACGGCTGACCTTATTTGGAACACTGTTCTGTGAAGCAAAGCATGCTATCAAGAATACTGGCTGGAAAAAAACTGCCTTTAAAAACTTCCTTTAAAACCTGCCCTCGCAAGCATGAGATTCCTAGCACTGAAAACACTGGCATAAACTTCTTAGGTGGTGTGGGTTTATATATTAGTAAAAGAGGAACAAGAAGTTGTTGCTGTGAAATGCCTCCTTAACATCCTTTTAACAGGTTAGTAGAAACATTCCTGACATTTAAAATATATTTTCATATAAAAAGATATAATATCAATAATATAATAAATAAAATAACATTGAAAATGACAGACAAAAAAAAAAAAAAAAAAAAAAAAAAGTTTACTACCTGAAACCTGACGCAGCCTTTTGGACAATGGCTTCATCTGAACTCTTGTCAAAGACAAAAGAAAGGGCGGCCACTGTAGGTCCCCATATCAAAGTGAAAAGCTCATGATCAAATGCCCCAGTTGGAGCATGGAAATACACACCGCCTTTAGAGACACCTCTGTGTAGCAGAATCTTTACAGAAAATAATAAGGACTTGGTAACAATCAACATTTAATATAAAATTAAAACATTATTTACAATGATGATAGATATATACAGGTAGAGTAAGCAATTGACAATCAAATCTCAATTATTACATGTTTATATATACACTCATATAAATAAGTGGTCAAACAAATTTAAACAAGTAGTAGGAATTAAAATATCCAGAGCTTGTAGAAGTCATTAGCTAAAGATGATTATGCTCTAATAATATATTTTTAATATTTTACCAGTTTTGGTAAAATTGCTGAAAATTCTTCAGATGCATACACATTATTTGATAACGGTTATTGCTGTTTTTAAACAATTAATATTTTGTCAAGTCATTTCAAGGCCTCACCTTCCAAAGGTAGTTTTCTTTGACTAGACCACTGTGTTCTGCTGGCATCACAATTTCTTCATTTCTGTACATTGAAAAAATCAGAAGCAATTAATTACATTGGTATCACGTCATTAAATACATTTAGAGAACCCGTACTTTACAAATTGTAATGACTAACAATTTGTATATTTCACAAATATTTAATCAAACCAACACTAAAATAACACATACATTTGTTTTATCCTTAAAGGGTGTTCACTTAAAGTAAAGAGCAAACTGATCAAGACCTAAAATGCTATTTATTTACCGAATGGCTTGAAATATGTCGTGGAGCATATTATGGTCAAAATCTTCTCCACCATTCACTTTGGATAAATTCCTTTTAAAATCCTTTAAAAAATATAATAACAAAAATTGGATTTAAAAAAAAATGTGGATAAAAATGGCAAGAGAATAGGGTCTATACATTTTTAAAAAACAAGAAAGTAATGAGTAATAAGTAAACAAGAGTGAAAGTAATGAAGTCCTAAATCAAACAAAAAATTGTTATCAAATGTTAGTGCATTATGTGCTTCATAACTGCAGATTAACTGTTAAAAACTAAATAAATCCCAGTAAAGTTTAGCAAAATAAACTTAAAAACAAACCTCAGGTGTCATTGGAACATTCTGCTTCTTGGCATTGTGGTTATGTTGGTCAACATTTAACATGATAACAGCATATGTCAGTGTAAATGCAGCATCAACATTGTGGAAGGGCTCACCATTACTTTTCTAGAAATAATTTTGTTATAATTAATATAAAATATTATCAAGAAAAAAAAAAGACATCAATATACATACTTTTTACACTTTAAATATAAAAAGTAATCCACGATAACAAAAACAATTTATAACATAAAATCTTGACATTGATTTGTTAAACAATTTTCAAAGGAATTCAATAAAACCACAGCTATGTTCTTACATGCCAATGCTCAGCAAAATGCTCCATTAACCAGGAAATTACTGGTGCTTCTCCGGGCATACGGAAAGACTCAAGATACATGCGAAGAGCTTCATCAACACGAGTGTCCTCAAAATTGAAGGCCCTTAAAAATGAGAATACAACACCAGTGTCAGAATATGAAGAGTTGAAATCTTGGTTCTCAATTATTATTTTATTTAGCCATTCTACAGCACCTTAACGGTTGAAAAGCCTCCATCTAATCTTATTGGCTAAGGCTAATTTATCTTTACTGAACAATTAATTTGCATAGCTAAAATACCACAAAAAAAAAAATGTAAATTAATCAGAGGATAGGTTGTCACTTTGCATTGTTTAAACATAACTCCATTTTAAATCCATGGAGAAGTAATAGTAAAAAAATTAAGATAATTACATTGCACTATTTAGAAAGAATTTCCCCAATTAAACAAAATTATTGTCATATTATTTGCAGACAGTAAATACAGAAAGAGTATTCATAAAAAAAATGTAGAATTAATGGACAAGAGATATAACTTACTGCACAAAAGCTTCAAGGACTTGCTTATTCCTTTTGTCACTTATGTATTCTCCAATCATCTTCTTGTCTAGTCTGTGGTTTTCTCTAAAAAATGCCACAACTTCAGTTGGGTTTAAAGGTTTAGAAAGCAGGCCTTCCTCCTGCAAGTACTGCAAACCTTTAGATGGTTTGATGTTGAACTGTTCAGTACCCGTCTGATAAATCTGTGATATGATTGAACATTAAAAAAACCAGAAGGATAGAAAGACCAATTTTAGTTTTTATTCTAACAGATTTTTATTGAGATCCCAGACTACATGAAATGTACATTATAAGCAATATACAAGCCCCCCCCCCCCCCCCCCCTTAAATTTAGGGTGGAAAGTGAAAATGGCTACTCAGAAAAAGCTTCCAAAGTTTGAAGTGTATCCCCCCACTTCAATTTCCCCCCATGAAACGGTCACCTTGTAAGAGACAGATTGAGTTTGGGTCAGTGCTTTGAACTAAGCAACAAAGTTGACATATTAAAAGATTATTACATTTATAATAATGCTGTCACTCACTTTTTTCTTCTTCTTGAGTTCAACAAGCTCCTCATGAGATGGTAATTTACAGGAAACTTTCATCATGCGATTAGGTTTTATCATTGGGCCTTTTCTAGCATCCTTTCCTTTTAAAGCTGTTAAGGAAAAGAGAATGAAGAAAAGTCAATGATAAAATATTTAGAAGTACATGAAAATCTAATTATGATTATTACTCCTTTTAAAGCTGTTAAGGAAAAGAGAATGAAGAAAAGTCAATGATAAAATATTTAGAAGTACATGAAAATCTAATTATGATTTTTATTCCCGATTTCTTGCCCCCAGTGAATAACTTTAACTTTTCAGTTTTTAATATTAACAACAAAAGAAAAGGGCTCAGTTCTTTTTTAATTAATTTACATCACCTTGTGTATTAAAAAGAAAATAAAGAGGTCTGACATTTTGTTTGTTTTACACACTGAGATTTATAAAAGGTAATATTAAGAAAGCTTGCTTTAATTATAAGTTATCTAATTTTACTTAATCCAAAAATTGTTAATATACACACCCAATTGCCCTCCATCAGCAAGTTTTTCTTTAGCACTATTTTCTGCATTTTCAGCTACATTTTTTGTTATAGCCCGTGTGTGACAATGTTGTTCAATACTGTCTACACAGGTCAAAAGTGCATCAAGTGACAGCAGATGAATGGTGAACAGTCCAGACACGGGGAATGCATTCTGTTACAGAAAAAATTATCTTAATGGAAAGAAAAATATAACAATAAAAAACAAAATCACAAAAAAATAAATATAGTGCAGGCTGTGAGATGCTATCATCTCAAAGACAAAAAAACTTTATACTTTCTTCTCCAAATTAAAACTACTCAATTTTGAGTTTTAAAAAAAACTGAATATATTAAATATTATTAACCTTGGAAAGAAGTTTAGTCATGTCATCAAAGAGATTGGAACAGTACAAGTCACAATCATAATTTAAGTACAATTCTGTCACCAAGCCAGGTACTCTCCACATCTGCACCACAAAGTCCAGCGCAATTTCTCTGTGATCGTAAGTTATCTTCAAGCTGTCTGATATGATCAGTTCACTTATCCGCAACAAGTAATTCTGTGGTTAATAGATGAAATATGCTGGTAAATGGCAATGTTAAATATATGAATTATGCAAAATAAAGAAACAACATGAGAGAATCCACAAAAAACATTTTTTACATTTTAAAATATTCAAACTTAAATACTTATATCACCTCTAGTTGGAACTTTAAATGCTGTCTCATGGACTCAAATATGAGAAAACTGAGACTTAGTGAAGCAGCAAACAAAGACAGCCTCTCGCACTGCAACAGCTGTTTTGAAAGACAAACAAATTTTTAGAAGTTTTTTATAGGGCACAGGTTAATTATATTAAGTCCAAGGGTGTTGTAGCTTTAATTAACATTAAACAGTTCAGTAATTTATCTTATAATTAATTAAATCTCACCATAGAAAGATTGCGACTCAGCTCATCTTTGACCAAATAAAGGAGTGAGTTGTAGGAACTAATATGATCAGCTGATGTTTCCAGAGCGACAATCAACAAACTTAATCCCATATGGACCATGACATCAGTATTCTGGCGATCCAATGGGTTTGTTAGGGATACCAGGAACCGAAACAGTTCACGGACACATGGAAGCCCATAAGGGATCAGGGAAACTGGGCCAGCTAATGATGAAGATGATTTAAGAAGGAATATTAGTTAAGCCTGTAAAGCTGCAATTAGAACCCCCCCCAAAAAAAATCAACATTTTGTCGGCTACTGGACATGTATCTTGAGGTTTATACTAAATCAAGTTTGTCGTTCCAAATCTGAAGTTAGATTTTGTGTAGAAAATCAGGATTTTAAGTTATGCAGTTTCATGTGAGAATTAAAATAATTTTTATGCAAACAAATTACAGAGCTAGTATTTGCTTATATAACTGATGGACTATTCTCAGAGTAGTTGTAACACTAAACAAATGTTATTTATTCATTTATAACTTGAAATGCAAATAAAAATGTAACTTATTTCCAATAAGAAATTTTATGTTATTTTTCTTAAATTAAAAAAAAAGAAAATCCAAAGTAATAAAAACATGCCGAAATCTATTAAACAGTACAATAAAATTTAAGAAAAAGAATCTTATGACGAAGTTTTTTAATCTGATATAAATACATTTATGTTACTCAGATGAAAGCATACATTTCTTAATTTAGCCTCCTGCTTAACTCTATTCGAAAGTGTTTTAGGCACTTGCTCTTGTGAGTGGCCGATATTGCCTGATGAAGAAACCAGCAGTAATCAGACCTCATATATAAATTGTAGTGTTGGCCTTAATATCTTGTTTTCAAAGATGAAATCTCATCTCTTTCACCAATCAAGTTTGGTTGTAAAAAAATCCAGAAGATTATGAAGATATACATCTTAGGGACATCAGGAGCCGAGTTGCTTGTAGGCTGTTAGCATAGTTCTTTGTGATTCACAAGAAATTTTGCACCACCAATATACATACATCCCAAGCGCAAATTCAAGTGGGTTCATATTAGTTCTAAATAAATTATCACGAGACAGCGTGCCGACTTCTGGCACAATAAAGATTCCAGCTTTGATCTAAGCATCAGTTTTGATTGCTCCGAATTCCTCTTTCAGATTCTGAAAGCCTTGTTCATTAAGATTCATTGCTACTACAAATTTTTTCATGTGGCTCAGTTTGATGTGAAGTGGTGATGTATGGATCAACCAATAATTAGCATTTTTCCACAACATGGCTAACTACAGACACTTTTTTTAAACAAGTTTTTAACTCATCTCTATTTCTTTGTTGTTTCTTGTTTTGTTGCTGAACAAGGCTTTACCCCAAAAGTTCTCTTTTTATTGTCCCGTTCTTTCATTTCAACATATCTAGTCCCACTATTTCCTAAGACAGATTCTGACTTCATATAAGGAATTAGTTAGGTATAATACATTCAACCCATGTTTTACTTTCAGTGGCAAAATCGTTGTTTACCAACGTAATAAGAAAAGTAAAAGCCAAAATCATTGCAATTACAATGAAAAAATGTTATTTCTTGATAAAACTGTCAACAAATATTGTTTAGTGTTAAAACTTAAGTTATAAAAAAATTTAAAGCACATCACTCAAATGATTTAATCTACTATCAACATTCTTTAAATGTATAAAATCATAATAACAGTAAAATCTTGAAGGGAATAACTATCATTTAAAAACTTTGTGGCCTATGATCAGTACCTTCAATGGCTGTTTGTTGCTGATTTTGAAGAAACCTTACTCCTTTTGGATTTACAAACTCATTCTCTTGTGTAGAGGCAGTGTCAGTGGAGTGAATCGATTCATTGTCATCAAAAGCTTCTCCTTCACCATTTGCTTCACTGGAGTACAAATCAGTTTCACTCTGGGCTTTCTGTAAAAATATAGAGATTAGATTAACAACCTCATTAAAAAAATAAACTCATCAGATAAGTTCTTTTTTATCTGTCACTCAATCAATACAATAATAATTGCAACTTTGCATTCATTTTCAGGTTAAATAAAAGACATTACAACAAGTGTTGGGAATGCTTTGACACTAAAAAAACCACTAAATCTGACAACAAATGATTTCCTCTCACTTACCCTCAATAAGGAAGGATCAACACAGAGGGTTGCAGTATTTGGAGATTGCTGTCCAACAATGGAATAAGAATCAGCACTATGCTCATTTTGATCATTATTTCTCAGTGCCTCTGCAGCAGCTTCTTCGTTAACCACAAGAGAAACTGTGCTTTCATTTAAAGTCTCCTCCTCTTTTGAAGCTGCCTGTTAATATTTAAAAAAAGTGAATTGTGTCATTTACCAAACAATAATGATCAACACAATTATAACTAAAAAACATTTTGTTCTTTACATAAGCAAGTATTACTGCCATGAAAACATTTTATTTAATTCACCTCAAATGTTTTTGCGATATCTATAACTCTATCTTCTAGGCCAAACCCAGGTGTTGTTGCTAAGGGTTCAATGTGCTCAAAATCTGTCTGAGATTCAGTGCTGGGGTCATTAGGGATATTCTCCGAGGTCTCTATGGCCTCAGTGATTGTTGGTTGAGATTGAAGTGCCTCCGAAGATGGCTGAGCCGGGCCATGTGTGCGTTTGGTCTTTGGTTTAGGAGACTTCTTTCTTTTTCCCATTCTTGCTGGATCCACACCACCAGTTCTCATTTTAAGCTGGAAATAAAAATAAAGAATACCTCCATAGGAAAAAAAGTTTAGCACAACTTTTATGTTAACCGATAGATCTTATGCAACAAACTATCAGGGCAGCTGGTCAATCCCATGGTGTAATGTTAATTGTATCTGCCTTTTTATCAAGAGAGACTGTGTTCCAAAATGTCTGGGATCATTGAGCTTTGAGCTGACAGCTAGGTGGAATGTATTAGGCCAGTGTACAAACTTTCAAATCATGGAAGACAGACAACTTTTCAAGGGATTAAAAACCTTCAGTCTAGACAAATAGCTAAATCTTACCAGCTTAAGATGCAAGTGATGTAAACGAATTTGTACATAAATAATTTTTAAAATTTGATGCTTAAAAGGTATGACTTAAAACTACCAACAAATGTATATATAAACTACCAAAATTTATATATAATCTTTAACACCTATGAACAGCAAAACAATTCATTAGATATTTATTAAAAGCAAGTTCAGCATTCACATCTTGTTACTTTAAATTCCAGATGTGAGAAATTTAATTTGCTTGACAAATTTACTCATTATATTGCTATCAATTCACAGTCATATAATCCTATTAAGATATGACATAGTCAAAAGTAAATTCAATATAAAATATCTAACCTTTTTGTTTATATTGGTAATCCACTTTGGGTCCTCCTTGAAGAAAGGCAGCCTTGTAAATAACAAATGCACCATATCTCTGAGAGTATTTTCAGCAGATTTTCTCAAAAGCTCTGGAGATTTTAATTTTCAACAAAATTCTTAACGTCAGAATAAAAAAAAAATGAATGTGCTTTTGTTGATTATATTTATAATTATGCAAAAACTTTAAAAATCTTACCACTTAATTTCATCTCAAAGCATATACGAAAGCATGACTGCATAATCTCACAAACAGATTCATTGGTGAGTAATACACCTGCTCGGCACAACAGCAAGGTTCTTAAGACCTAGGGATGAGGGAGGGTAAATAAAACTATGAAAAAACAAATTCATCAAGTGTCACCATTTTTGTTTCAAACAGAGAATTATTAAAATTAAAAATTGCTACTGTTTATTTCATTTATCTGACTGCTTTGCCCTTTTAGAAAATAAAATAAATAATTAAATGGTACTATTGCTACTTACATAGAGTATCTTCATTAAAATGACCTCATCAGCTGCTGGATCAGTTCCAACAAATCGTGCATGGGTTACTGCATCCGCTACATTTTCTATTGCTGGAGCAGCCATTTCACACGAAGGATCTAAATTTTTTTGTCAGTATATTAAATGTTTATTTCAAGACAGTAAAATTCACATCTCTGGTATAGATCTAAATGCTAGTTTGCTTTATTTATGTCATAGAAACCACATCAAGAAATTAAAAGCAATCTAATCCCTGAACGTCATATATATATATTACTAATCAGAGAAATTAACTGACATGCTGTATTGATTTAAAGTTTATAAAGTTAAAAATCATAGGATAAATTATTGAACAATTTTGAAGATCATGTCATAGGAATTTTACATGGCAAAATTAATTTTTAAAACCATTTCTTACCAACAAGTCCATAAGATAAAAATTTATTCACTGAGGTAAGGGCTAAACCAGTTATAGGCCCTGTGGTATCTTCTGATCTGATAACTTCAAGAAATGGACTCAGAAATGCATTGGGCTCTATTTCATTTAGCTCTGCAGAAAGAACAGAATATTTGACTTGTTTGCTTTTAAATTGAAAATGATTTATAAGGTAGAAAAAAGAACTCTCAATACAAATTTACAAGTTACAGTTATTTAGTAAGCTTCTTTAGTCGATGAGAAGGTTTCAACTATTTTTTTTGTGTCAATTAAGTGAACGATTATTAAAGAATCATATCAATTACTTTACCTGTAATGCTATTGAGAACATCTTTAAGTTGGAAGAATGAGCTTTGTAGCATATCAATGTCATCCTCTTGCTTGGTAAAAAAAAAAAAGGGTTATGATAAAAAATAATGTAGTAGAGTCAGGACTTTAAAAAAAAAAAAAAGGAAAAATTTGAAACATATGGTTGGAGATAAAGCCCAGGAAAACAAAAAAAGAATCATATCAATTACTTTACCTGTAATGCTATTGAGAACAACTTTAAGTTGGAAGAATGAGCTTTTTAGCATATCAATGTAATCCTCTTGCTTGGTAAAAAAAAAAAAGGGTTATGATAAAAAATAATGTAGTAGAGTCAGGACTTTAAAAAAAAAAAAAAGGTACAATTTGTAACATTTGTTTGGTGTTAAAGCCCAGGAAAACAAAAGCCATTACATACATGTCGTATATGTCTACCATGCGCTCCATAGCGAGATGTCCTTTTCATCGCAGTGATGAGCAGGGCAATCTCACCCTGGACAATGTAGATTCCATTAGTCAGAGCCATCTAAAAATTATAAATATGGATAGCAAGTAAAAAAATAGCTCACTGTCTAAGTTGAATGTCTAAGAATAATAATCAAATAATAAGGAAAGCAATAACTGTTTGATACAGCTCGTAATTTTTCATTATTTTAATGTAATAGATTAGTATAATAGGTTAATATAATCCTTATTTTAGCTTCAAGATTTATTTTTGGATGATACAGAATTATTTAAAATGTGAGACAATTATAGGTTCCTTTATAAATGGGCGGCGTTTCTGATATGTTTGCTATGCATGAAAAGTTACTATGACTAACCTTTGGCGTTTCTAATATGTTTTCTATGCATGAATATTTGCTATGACTTACCTTTTGATAATAATGATCCTTGTAAATGTCCAGCAAAGACAATTGATAATTTATATTACTGCAGGCATTTCCTTCACCTAAAATTGTTTGAAATAGACAAAATTATACAACAGTGAAATTTTCAAGTTTTAAAACTTACTAGCAATAACTTGTCAAAAATGAAAGAAAAAAAAAAGTAGGGGGGGGGGGATAATTAAATATCAATGCTCCTTAGAAATAATTTTTAAGATAGGGGAGCCTTCAATTCAACAAAGTTAACTTGAATTATTTCCATTGAAATAGGTACTTCCGTCACATTTTTATTTGTTTCTGACAAGCATTCTTAGGGCAATTTAGGGAATTATGTAACACATCAGAAATAACACCATTAGCTGCTTGATTCTTACAATTTCTCAGTATTTGAAACCCTCTGAGGAAGTTTTTTAAATTAGGAAGAACTCAAGTTCTTTTGGCCCTCACCAGGGTCTATCAGATTTTTGCTACAGCTTGGCCTTCTGACATTTTTATTTAAATGCAATATTCATTGTATTCTTATAAAAGTAGTGTTATCTTGAACAAGCTTATGTAATTGTTCCATTTACTTTAAGTATCTGAAGTTTTCTTTTTAGTGTTATGTTTTTTATTGACTACATAGTTTGACACTTTTTCTCAGGGTTAAGTATGTAAAGTAGTAAAGGGGACTTGATTTTGAAATTTGTGCCCTATCAACATTGGTTTCAGGGGCAGAGAGGGTAGCAGGGATATCGTAAGTAGATTAACATTGTGTAGCAGTGCCAATTACTTTGCTCTGTAATTCTTCTTTAAAATAATAATAATGCATGCAATTCAAAAAACAGAGACTGTACTGAATAAGTGTATTGTCACAATTTTTTTATGATGCATTATGAGAAATGAGGGTGTCTTAATTTTGTGACAAAGTTGTGATGATGGGGAGAGAAACATAAGCCAAAATAGCTTGATGTCATTTATGAATGGCAAGAGCCACATTTTAATAGTGATGCTTGAAACTGATTTTGGAGCATGGAATAATGATGCCAATCCCCAATGATTACTAAGTCAGTTTTGTCAATGTCAGTATTTTCCCATAAAGGAAAAAAGCTTCGTTTCATAACTTTGGCTATCCTAAACCAACTTAGTGGCTGATTTTGGGTTAGCGGTAAGGCCGGCGATGTGTTCGACGGTATATAGGTCACGGAGGTTCTCCAGGTCCACTTCCGTCTACAGTGCCATACTACAAAGATAATGCAAGTTATTGTTTTCTTATTTTATATTTTTTTGTTAAATTGGGGAGAGGTCTCCCCTCCCCAGAGGATTTCTTTGTTTCTTATTTTGGAATTTAAAGTGAGGGGAGGTCTGCCCTCCCCAGTCCCTAGAAGATCATTCCAAATGCTATTTAAGCAGTAGTCTCCCTTTTGTTACCAGTACCGTAGTTTCAATATACCGGTATTTTGATTTCAATTAATGCCTTTAAAAAAATTTAATAAGATGTTTGTTTATTTGATATCTTTAATTTATAATTAAATGATTTAATTAAATACCTTATTAATGTTTTTAAATACTAACTTTTATTAGGCCTGTAAGAGTAAATGCAGTTGTAGTGATGGAATTGAATAGTATTATTAGTAATAGTATCAGTAATTAGGCTTAGGCCCTAAGTTAGGCCTTTTAAAATATACACTATAATATACTTTTAGTAATTTTTTTTAAGGCACACAAAAAAGTTTACAAAGGCAAATATTTAATATTTCTAATTCTAATAAAATAAATAAGTTTTACTAAACAAAAGAAATTGAATAATATTATAAAGCAATAAGAAATTGTGTAGATTCAGGATATAATTAGATCTTATTTCTAGGTTTCATTCAGACACAAGAGAAAATTAGAAAATTTTAATTTTCTATAAAATTTTCTATAAAATTAAAGAAGTCCTTCCATCGACAAGTAGGCACTTTTTGACAAAGAAAAAGTATATGAAAGAGAGATTGTGGATTTATCAACAAGACCAAGCAGTTTAAAGAGCAGTCTAAGTCTAAATAGAAAATGATTGGCAGAACATCCTAAATAGTGCCATTAACTTTTAAAATTTAATCACATACCCCATTGCTGGTATGCTCGTATTAGTGTTATTGGATTTGGTGATATAATTAGTTTTTATTTATTATGTTATGCCTTCAACTTTATTGTATCAAAAAGACTTCTACAAACCTTTCATAAATAAAAGAACTGATTTAAAATTTAACTGAAGCACATAATTCATTAAAGTAAAATAAACAAGTTATTTTGTTTTGTTTTTTCCCTTAGGGCCTAGGCCTACAGATATTATTAATTTTTCTGTTCATATTTTTCTTAACATACCCTCAAATAAATATATAAAAAATAAAAGTCTTGATGTTATATAAAAGTTTTCTTGTTTATTGTGTTGCATATTGCATTGAGAATGTCTCCAGAAAATTTGAAAGCATTATCTTTTAAAATAAACAAGTTTTGGGAAAAAATAAGGCAGGAATTTGGAAAGCGGTTCACAGTCACACGTTTTTTTCAGTTTTAAATTTCAAATTCAAATATAAGGAAGGGGGGTTTTCACAATCACCAAAGAAATCATAACTACACTTCCATAAAAGATAAAATGCTGAAATCAGTGTTTTTTTTAAAGCTTATAGCTAGCCCTTTAAAACGATATATCATTTATCAATTTCAATAGAAAAATATTTAACATTTCTGTCAGTCAAAATATTTAAATATAATATAGTAAAATATAGTTTTGATCTTTAACCCCTCAATAAAGGTGTCCTGGAAACCTATTCCGCTTTGTGAAAAGTGCTACTTATATAAATAATTATAACTTTATTATCCTTAGGAGTTGCTACTTATTAAAGTTAAAGTAAATAGAAACTTCACTACTAACCAAAATAGGATTTTTTCAGGATTGAACCAAATCACAAATCTGATTCAATGCCACTACGTTATTGTTCTAAACTCATATAAATACTAAAAATGAAAACCACAGGCCCGCAAATTTTGAAAACAATACTTCTGATACTCGTATAATGTGAAACCCTGAGTAAATTACCAGTTATTTTTGCTTTGAAATTATACTTTAGGTTCCCTCGACCATCAATATGACGTGGTAATCAGTGCGCGTAAGATGTCGCTGGTAAGATAAAAGGGGAAGGAACTCCAAAGTAAAGACCAAACATTTATAATAACCTAATATCTATAAACATTCAAACCATACAATTTACAATTAAACAGTTAGTCAACAGTCTTAAGACGATAAATATTTGTGGTTTTTTTTCCAATATGCCACTTGCATTTTCACTCTGAGTGTCCATCAATTAATCGAATTCCAAAAAATTCAATTTAATTTATTAGCTCAGATTAGGCATCTATTTTCAATTGTGTGAAGACAAGCAAATGAATTCTGAAATCTGGGATGCCATTTTGTGGGGAATTACATGTTACAATGAATATAATTAATGAATATTAATTATAAGTGAATATGGCCTACCATAAATTTAGGACTATGATTTTATTTATATTTAAAAATTAATGAATAGTGTGTGTCTTTAATTTCTTTTAAATGAAAATGAAAAGCTATTTCATCAAATAATGATGATTGATGAAAATAAATAAGATAATAATAATATTAATGATTCCACTAAAAGTGGGCTAGATATATTTTTTTTTTTTGCTAGCCTAAATCAAACTAAATGTAGTCCATGCCATAAAAACAAAATGAATCAATTTCAGATTGTCAACGAACTTCATATTTTGAAAAAAATAAATATTTAACTATATTTAATAGGTTCGAGTTTGTGTTTGTATGTCTTTTTTTTTTAAACATAATTTTCAAACCCATATATGGTGTGCAGATACGAGGCATTTGTGTTTATAATATTTAATTTCTAATCGGCAATCTGAAACATAAATCTATTTAGGCTGAGAAGAGTCACAATAATGCTAGTTACGCCCCTTTTACTAGTGATGGTGTTACAAATAAAATGTCATTGAAAAACTAAACTATTCATGCACTATAAATTTAATTTGGGTTTAAAGGAAAAAAAACAATAATAAAAATAAATCTGAATTGCATCTATCATTAGGCTACTCTATTAAGTATGTTATTATAAATTTTAAAAAAAAAAAGCAGCCTATTGTTTTTTTTTATAAATACCTCTCTTCAAATAGGTATTCTCTAAATCTAGTAGATCTAATCTTGGTGTGCACTATTTTGGTTCTTATCATATTTTATAAGGTTTTAAAATGTCTTTAAACCTGTGTAGTCGTTCAATAGAATAAAATTTTGCTATATTATTTGATGTTTTTGACATGATAGAAAAATATTAACATTAGACTCTATTTCTTTCATTGCTTTGTTTTTTACAAATGTAGAGTCGTCCTGTCTTTACGAACGTCGAATAATTAGTTAGTTGTCTCCCTTTACATACTAAATTGTTCCAGACGTCCTATGTCACAGGTACAGGTCTCAACCACTTTTGAGTTGTAACAATAACCGTCTTATCAAGACAAAGTTTTATTGGGCCGCATGAAGCTCATGGGCCGCAGATTGTCCAATCCTATGCCAACATAATGACATTCTCTGCTTTTTATTTAAATGAAAAAGCTGGGTGGCCGATCAAAGCAAAATCCCAAGCACCCCTGGTGGATGGGACTCGTTAGCCTTTGGAAGTCAACTCATCTAAGAGAAGGCTAACTCTGAATTCAACCATTGATTATGGGCCCTCAAATATGAAAAAGAAAGAATCATAATAAAATAATGGTGTGCAACTTATTATTTTTCCAAACCATTTCAGATCTATATTATAACGGGACGGTTACGCCGGGTCTCCCGCCGCCGTGCGGAAGCTCCCCACTGGGGACTGAAGACGCTGCGTTTAAAGCGTCCGTGGTCCGGGGCGCGGCTTTACTAGGGCCGCGTAGCAAAAATCATCGGCAAGGGTTTTAACCGCCACCCAGGCCTCATATCCATTAACGGCAACAAGTAATCATGTTATTGTGTTACTCCCGTTGCGTTGGAAGTCATGCAAGTGGTCGGGGTTTTTAGACTTCGGGAGAACTACGCCTCCCTACTAGTCAGGCACGCCACGGAGAGGCAAACCCCATGTGACACCACCAAGTCACCTCGGCAGTGCGGGACCCTGACCTAGAGGCGTTAGGTCTGATTCCCCCTGATGGCAATCGGTTCTTGTGGTACTTTGTTCTGGTGGCACTCGGTTCTGGTCGCACTTGGTTCTGGTGGCATTCGGTTCTGGTGACACTCGGTTCTGGTGGTACTCGTTTCTTGTGGCATTCGGTTCTTTTGGCACTCGGTACTGGTGACACTCGTTTCTGGTGGCACTCGGTGCTTGTGGCACTCGTTTCTGGTGGCACTCGGTTCTGGTGGCACTAGTTTCTGATGGCACTCGTTTCTTGTGGCACTCGTTTCTGGTCGTACTCGGTTCTTGTGTGTTACGCACTGACTTGTATTGGGAGATATTAATCTCCTATTTTAATTTTAATTGGCTCGTTGTAAACAGTGCCTAACAAAGGACGATACCATATAATCAACAATATTAAAGATACGACCCAAAACAGTTTCTAGTTACAATTAATTAAGATTTATTATGTCTAAAGATAATTACAAAAGAAAATAAAATAAAATTACAATCTTCAACATACAGTATGGTGGATCTCGTACCGGTACACAGTTAATACAATTAGAAATAATGATGCCAATAAATAATGCGAAATAAACACATATAAGTAGGAGCACACAAATACACAAAAGAATAAAACACGCCTCGTAATGTTAAGAGAATCTATATGAAAATCTCCGTCCCTCGTCCGTGCCTGTCAATCCCTTATATAGGTGGGTCTACCGACGCCCAAGCCCTGCCTTCGAGACATTTCGAGAAAAATCCCAATCATTCTACCAAATACTATTTGGAACAGATTAATTATTTTTATTCGTTGGCGGCGTAAACAAGAATACATCAAAGACCTAAGCCACACCCCTTTGTGAACACAGCGTCTCATGCGGGGTCAATCAGAGGGCACGCACGAGAAATATTATGTAAACAAGCTCCCTATAACATTGTGGCACTCGGTTCTGGTGGCACTCGTTTCTTGTGGCACTCTATTCTTGTGACACTCATTTCTCGTGGCATTGCACTTTTCACCTGATCTGGTGTCACCAGGGCTGCAAACCGTTGGTAAATTTACAATCCAATGTCACCTAAAATTTCTTCTCTTGTAAAGGTCCGTAAGAGCTTTAGGATGTCCGTCGAAAATGAAACATTAAAGGCCTACGAACATTTCTGGGGCTTGCTTTAAACGTTTATACTTATACTCATAATGAAACGAAAAGGGGCGATAATGTCAAACGATAAGCTGACGCGCTTAAAAATAGACTCAAGCATCATGTTCAATTGACTTAGTGTCATAGTCTTAGGACGTGCGTATTAAATATTTGGCACAGTACATAGAGTCATAGTCTTAGGACATGCATATTAAATATTTGGCACAGTACATAGAGTCATAGTCTTAGGACATGCGTATGAAATATTTGGCACAGTACATAGAGTCATAGTCTTAGGACGTGCGTATTAAATATTTGGCACAGTACATAGAGTCATAGTCTTAGGACATGCGTATTAAATATTTGGCACAGTACATAGAGTCATAGTCTTAGGACATGCGTATTAAATATTTGGCACAGTACATAGAGTCATAGTCTTAGGACATGCGTATTAAATATTTGGCACAGTACATAGAGTCATAGTCTTAGGACGTGCATATTAAATATTTGGCACAGTACATAGAGTCATAGTCTTAGGACATGCGTATTAAATATTTGGCACAGTACATAGAGCCATAGTCTTAGGACGTGCGTATTAAATATTTGGCACAGTACATAGAGCCATAGTCTTAGGACGTGCGTATTAAATATTTGGCACAGTACATAGAGTCATAGTCTTAGGACGTGCGTATTAAATATTTTGCACAGTACATAGAGTCATAGTCTTAGGACATGCGTATTAAATATTTTGCACAGTACATAGAGTCATAGTCTTAGGACATGCGTATTAAATATTTTGCACAGTACATAGAGTCATAGTCTTAGGACGTGCGTATTAAATATTTGGCACAGTACATAGAGTCATAGTCTTAGGACGTGCGTATTAAATATTTGGCACAGTACATAGAGTCATAGTCTTAGGACATGCGTATTAAATATTTGGCACAGTACATAGAGTCATAGTCTTAGGACATGCGTATTAAATATTTTGCACAGTACATAGAGTCATAGTCTTAGGACATGCGTATTAAATATTTGGCACAGTACATAGAGTCATAGTCTTAGGACATGCGTATTAAATATTTGGCACAGTACATAGAGTCATAGTCTTAGGACATGCGTATTAAATATTTGGCACAGTACATAGAGTAATAGTATTGAATATTTGGTACAGTACATAGAGTCATAGTCTTAGGACATGGGTATTAAATATTTGGCACAGTACATATTATAGAGTCTAATCTTAGGACGTGCGTATGAAATATTTGGCACAGTACATAGAGTCATAGTCTTAGGACGTGCGTATTAAATATTTGGCACAGTACATATTATAGAGTCTAATCTTAGGACATGCGTATTAAATATTTGGCACAGTACGTAGAGTCATAGTCTTAGGACATGTGTATTAAATATTTTGCACAGTACATAGAGTCATAGTCTTAGGACATGCGTATTAAATATTTTGCACAGTACATAGAGTCATAGGACATACAGTAGTGCTGGTATTGAGTTGTTTTTTTTTTAAAGCTTCATAATTTCAACAACACAACTTTAAGAATGTTAACACAAATTGTGGAGATTTAGAAAATGTGTCTTAATTTTTAATTTTTTTTAAAATTGAGCTGGCAACCTTGGATTTCACCCCACTGCGAGGGTGTCACCCGGTGCGGTCCCCCCCCCCCACCCCCTAGTACCCTCCCCCCCCATTTTTTATTTTTTTTAAAATTGAGCTGGCAACCCTGGATTTCCCCCCACTGCGAGGGTGTCACCCGGTGCGGTCCCCCCCCCCCCACCCCTAATAACATCACCCACCGAGCCACACAGTT